TGGGTGTGGGTGTAGGTGTGGGTGTGTGCCAGCGTGGACAGGGGTGTGCGTGCAGGATGGGCGCCGGGAGTTGCGCCTGCCTCGGCGTCGGTTGCATGGTGTCGCCCGCAGCTGCGCTGCCCAGGTGCTGCCTGCTGGCACACGCGCATGGCACCCCCACCCCACCCCCACACCCACACACATCGCGCCGCCCTGCTCCCTGACTCGTGTTGGCCCAGGCCCGCTTCTTCGAGGGCCACTTCTGCCAGCTGCTGGGCGGCGAGGAGGCGGCCAGCATCGCGGCACTGCCGCCCGACCTGCTGCGCCAGCTGCTGGCCAGCGACGGCCTCAACATCGGCTGCGAGCTGGATGTGGCGCGCGCCGCGCTGCTGTGGGCGGGCGCAGACCCCGCGCCCCGCGCCCCGCTGCTGCTGGACCTGCTGCCGGCGGCCCGCATGCCGCCGGCGCGGCTGGCCGAGGAGGCCGCGCGCTGCGGCCTGCTGGCCGGCGGTGCCGCCTGCCTGCAGCCGCCGCCGGCGGAGCAGCAGGAGGCGGCGCAGCGGCAGCAGCAGCAGGTTCAGCAGCCTCAGGCGTGGCAGCCCGGCTGCGAGGGAGAGCTGGGGCAGGCCTTCTTGCACGCCTGCCAGCAGCTGCAGCACAGCGCGGCTGCTGCGGCTGCGGCCAACGAGCCGCCGCCCGCCTTCCGCCCGCGCCTCAGCTGCGCCACGGGTCTCATGATGGCGGGCGGGCTGGACGACGGCTGGCGCCCGCTGCGGTGCGCCTGCCAAGCGCCGGCCGCGCCGCTCCTCTGCCCGCCCGCCTCTTCCCGAGCCCCTTGCCTCGCCCCTCTTGCCCTCACGCCCGCCGCGAGGCTGCCACCACCTCCCCCACGCGTCCTCTCGCCTGGCCCACCCCTTACGCGACGTCCCCTCCTTTCCTCCCGACCCCTGCCGCAGTACGGTGGAGCTGTACGACCCGCAGCGGGACAGCTGGCAGGCGGGGCCGCTCATGCCCGCACCCTGCAGCTTTGCGGCGGCGGCCATGCTGGGTGGGGAGGCGTACGTTGTGGAGGGGGCAGCCCACGCCCCCTCCGTCCTGGCATTCGACCGCCAACAGCGGCGCTGGCGGCACTGCGCGGGCCTGGCCACGCCGCGGGTCAACATGGCTGTGGCGGCGATGGAGGAGCAGCTTTATGTCCTGGTGAGGGTGGAGGCAGGGGGGGCAGGGGCCGTGGCGGCAGGGGGCGGGTGCATTGGCGCTGGTGCTTGCTTGCTGGTGCTGGCCTTGGCCTGGCTGCCCCGATGCGTGTGCTGCATACCGGTGGGCTGGTGCCTGCTCGCTGGTGCCTGGCTGGCGCATTGGCACGGAGCGTCAGGCGCGCGCGGGTTCCTGCGCGTGAGGGCCATGCGGCGCCCCTCATGCGCCTGCCAGGGATGCAGCTGAACCTGGCGCCCATCCTGTTCCCTCCTGAGCGCAGGGCGGTCGCGCCGGGATCGGCAAGGGCGCCGCCGTGCTGCAGGCGGTGGAGGTGTTCTGCCCGGCCGCCGACGCCTGGCGCGCGGCGCCCCCCATGGCCTGCCCCCGCACCTCGCTGGCGGCGGCAGCACTGGGCGGGCGCCTGTACGCCGTGGGCGGCCAGGACACGCGCTCCACGCACGCCAGCGTGGAGGTGTTTGAGCCCGGGGCGGGGCGGTGGGTGACGCTGGGCGCCGCCATGCAGCACCCGCGCAAGTACCTGGGTCTGGCCGCGGCTGGCGGGCGGCTGGTGGCGGTGGGGGGCATGACGGGGGCGCGCATGCGGCTGCCGGCGGCAGAGGCGCTGGACCCTCGGGAGGGGCGCTGGGCGGCGCTGCCGCCTATGAGCGTGGCGCGCTCGTCCGCGGGGGTGGCGGCGCTGCACGAGTGCGTGTATGTGGTGGGCGGCAACGTGGGCATGAACATCAACGAGGTGGGTGGGTGGTGTGCCTGGGTGCGGGTGCGGTGTGTGTGTGGGGGGGGTGCTGGCCCTCTTGGGGCCGTGTGCCGCCGCTGCCCTGCGCTTGGCTGTGCTGCCTCGGGTGCCGGGTCCCCTTGCCTGCGCTCGCCGGCTCACGGCCCCTTGCCCCTGACTCACCGCCCTCCCTGCCCTGCCCTGCCCTGCTCGGCTGCCGCAGAACCACGCGGGCGTGGAGGCGTGGGTGCCGGCGGCGGGGCGCTGGCGCCACTGCGCGCCCATCAGCCACGGGCGCTCCGGGCTGTCGGTGGCGCCCTTCTGATTCAGGCCGCCTGCCTCCAGGCAGCATGTACTTCCCTCAGTTTTACGTCTGTGCTTGCTAGACCCTGTATCTCTGCTGTAGTTGAAACCCAATTCTGTTGTGCACGCGTGCCCCTGCCTCGGCGGCTGGCCCATTTTGATCCGCTCCACGTGGCATTGTCAGCTTGAACCCATGTGAAGCCCTGTGCCTTTCTGTAACTCTCGAGTTGTTTGCATGTATTGTGCAGGTATTTGTGTAGGTGGCATGCATTCATGAGGTTGGGACCGCTTTGCCAGGCAACCGCCCAACTGAATCCGCCGGAGGAAAGGGCGGCGGCGGTCGATTTTTCAAGGCGCGGCCTTCCCGGCATCGCCGATCGCACCCGCTATCGCTGCCGATGTCTGCTCTGCTGAAGACAATGGCCCAGCGCCTGTCCTTCGCTTCTCGGCTCGCCGGGACGCAGCTGGTGGTGCCCGTGTCCACCTCTCGCGCTGCTGCACCCTCCCCGCGGACCCTGGTCACCAAGGCCAGCATTGGGAAGCGGGAGCTTATCCAGGCGGTCAAGGATCAGGCGCAGCTCTCGGGGCCTCAGGCTGATGCGGCGGTGAACGCCCTGCTGGACACCATTGTGGGCACGGTGGCCAAGGGTGAGTAGATGGGATTGTCAGGCGACTGGCCCGACAGCCCAGGCGGGGTGACAGGACGCCTGATGGGCGAGTTGGGAGGCAGCCCTGGAGCAGGCTGGGCGCTGTTGGGGCACACGGTAGCATGCAGCGCAGCCTTGGCCGCAGCCTGCAGGCCCGGGGCCATGCGGTTCACCCCCTCCCGCCACCCGCCGCCACCGCTCAGGCCGACTGCTGGCGCTCGCAGCGACGGGCTGCTCAGCTGCTTGCACCGCCTCCCTGCTCCTGCTGCTGCGCAGGCCAGCGGGTGGCCATCACCGGGTTTGGCGTGTTTGAGGCGCGCACGCGGGCGGCTCGCCGCGGCCGCAACCCCAAGACGGGCGAGGAGCTCCAGATTGCCGAGACTGTGGCGCCAGCCTTCAGCGCAGGCGGGTCGCCAGGCTGGGGCGCTGCAGCAGCCGTGCAGCATCCGACAGCAGCCGAGGGCGTGCACGGCAGAGCCGGCGCGCTGTTCAGTCGCTGCAGCATGGCAGGAGCATTATTGCTTCGATGCCGCGCCAACCTCCTCTGTTCCTGTCTGTGCAGGCAAGGGCTTCAAGGACACTGTGAAGCTTGGCCACGGCAAGTGAGCCGCAGGAGGCGTGTGGCAGAGACGAGGCAGGAGCGAGGCTCCCGCTGCTGCCGCTACGCACCGCTCAGTGTTTCCCAGGAAGAACGCATGCTGGCAGCCTAGTGCCGGCGCCTTGTTCCTGGCTGCATCGCTCGGTCCTGGAGTGCGCGCTGAGCTGCGGCGGTCTGACGCACCTGCCATACGTCTTTCTCCTTCCTCTTGCTGTTGATCAGCATCTCCGCTGTCTTGTGTTATGGGGACTGACCTGCAGCTGGTGCACGCTGCAGCTGCACGAGGCACGCACCCGCGCCACTGCTGAGCGGTGGCCTACACCTGAACATCCCCCACCCATCTCCTTTGTTGTTGCTTCCCACCCCGGCAAGCGCTTCTCGATTCAACACTGCCGCACTGTAACCATCCCAAGCCAGCCCGATCGGCCCTTCAGAGGGTGCTGGAGTTACACTGGACTGGCAGGGTGCCGCACAAAATGGCCCGTTTAAAGTGGCCCTCCAGCGGCACAATCACGGCACCCCAATTTGTGGCGCATCCTGGAGGTGGTAGCTACCCGCTCACGGCTTGCTCCACCCGCGCTGCTCCGCCTTCTGCTTGAAGGCCGCCAGCATCTCCGCCACCTCCTCCTCACTCTGCTCCACCCCCTCCTTGCCGCCGCCCTGCCGCCGCTGCCGCTGCTGCGCGCCGCCGCCCTGCTGCCGCTGCTGCGCGCCGCCGCCCTGCTGCCGCTGCTGCTGCGGCTGGCCGGCGGCCGCCGCCGCTGCTGCCACGGGGGCAGCCACGCTGCCGCTGCTCGATGCCGCACCGTCTCCCTCCAGCACCCCCCCACCAAACATGCCCAGGTCGACCACCTCAAAGCCGCCTGCACCACCGGGAGGGGCAACCAGCGTGCAGGGACGCCTCGGCAAGCAGGCGGCACCGTGTCCCATCCATCGCCTGGCCCTGCGCCTTCACCCCGCCTGAAGCCGCCCCTTGGCAGCCCTCGCCACCCGCACGACCGCCAGCCCCGGGCGCAGCCAGCCCTGCTCCCCGGCTCACCCTCCTCCCCAAACGCCTCCTCCTCAAACGCCTCCTCCTCCACCTCGCCGTAGAAGGCCAGCGGCGGCGGCTCTGCCTCGCCCCGCTCAATCTTCTTCACCTGCGGCCCGAACCGGGAGGCGGCGCCGGCACGGCAGGTCGGGGCACGCAGGCGCGGTCGCGGCCCGGGCATCCCCAGTGCAAACCCCCACCTGGCCCCACCCAGCCAGCCAGCCGGGCTTGGGCACGCCCGCCGCACCCCCCCCCCCACACCCCAGCCGGCACCTGGTCCAGCAGCTTGAGGATGCGCTCCGATCGCTCGATGGAGTCGTCCCGCACGAAACGAATCTCCGGGGTCAGTCGCAGCCGGATCTGCAGCCCGGGGGCCGGCGGCGCGCGCAGCCGCAGCAGGTGATGCACAGTACGGGGCGCGGGCCGCTAGGCAGGGGCAGCAGCAGCACATGGCCATGGCCCAAGAGCGGGCGCATGGTCCCGTTGCGGCGGCGGCGCCGTGTGCCCGCACCTGCTTGCCGATGTGCTTGCGCACGTAGCCCTCCAGCCGCTGCAGGCCCTCAATGGCCACCTCCTTGCCCACGTCGTCGCTGCGCCAGGGGGGGCGGGCAGGCAGGCATCATGGTCCGTCGCACAAGCGCGCACAACTCGCGAGCGCGCGCATCACACACGCAGCCAGCCATCCACCAAACACGCACACGCTCGACACACACACACACACACACACACACCTGTATATGGACAGGTACACCTTGGCCACCTGCAGGTCGTTGCTGATGTGCACCTCGGTCACGCTGGCCAGCGCCGACAGCGCGCCGTCAAAGCCGCGCCGCCGCTCGGGGCACACCGCCGCCTGCATCGTCTTGTCGCTGATCAGCAGCTGCCCCACCTCGCGCTCAATCTGCTTGGCCACCTTCGCCACACGGCGGGGGTGCGCCTGTGGGGTGGGGGCGGGGGTGCGGGAGGAAGCAGCAGGGTGAGAGGGCAGGCGGGAAGTCTGGTGGAAGTCTGCGGCTGGGGCAGCGCCAGCGAGAAGTGCCCCAGCTGATCCGGGATGGCATGTGCTGCCCGCAGCTCCGGCCGGCCCCCCAAAAGCGGCCTGACTGTTTTGGCTTAGCCAGCCGCCGCCGCCAGCCCGCTGCCGCAGACTCACCATGCATACCACATTGGCGGCGCGGCTGGCCACCAGCGCGCGCTGGCCTGCAGAGCAGGATGCAGGGGGGCTGTGAGCAGTGCATGCAGGGCAGGAGGTGAAGCGGCTGGCGGGTTTGCAGGGTGGCCGCACCGGTGGGGGGCCGGAAAGGAAACTGCGCCCTTTCATGACGCGCAGCAGCGTGTCTGCTTCCGGATGCAAGCTGCTGCATGGCTGTGGGTTGGCTGGGTGGGCACCAGCGGGATGGCACAAGTGGAGCAGTGACGGATGCTGTCGTTCGGTGTCTCTACTGTATTGGAGTCACTCAAGGCGCGCCCAGCGCAAGCACAAGCCCGTCTTCGGGCACATGTCCCGAGCGCCCTGCCGTACACATGTCATGCCTCAGCATCTTCCTCCATTGCGCCTTTCCTTGCGCTGTTTGTCCTGTCTGACCTCAGTCTCATTGTACTCGGGGTTTCTGGGTGTTGGTGCAACGGAAGGGCCGAGGACGCGGCGCCAACCGCCGCAAACGCGTCTCTCGCCCTTTTGAGCACAAAACCGGCGGTGCACGGGGCATTCTGCGGCACCAGGCGTCTCCCTCGGGCACCGTGGGCCGCAAGTAGTTGTGTGTCGCATGTGCGGCCGATCACGGGCTGCTCATAGGTCCTAGCTCGCTATGGAGCACGATAGCGTGACCAGCTGGTGAGCAGGGAGGTGCTTGCGGGCCCCGATCTCCCGATGCTTGGCGCCGCTGCCCCAGTGGGCATCCACCACCCGCCCACCCGCTCACCATGCTGTCGTGCCCGCAGGTTTGTGCGCCGCAGGGCGGCTGCGCCGCCAGTCCAGGAGGGCGCCGACGGAAAGCAGCAGAAGGGCAAGGGAAAGCAGAAGGAGGCGGTGGCCGCGCCCGCAGACAAGAAGCCCTCAAACCCAGTGGCGGCAGCGGCGGCGGCTGTCGCCGCTGCGGCAGCCGAGAAGAAGGACAGGAAGGCCGCCGGCGCCGCCCCTGCGAGCGACAAGAAGCCGTCCAGCGCTTCCGCAGCCGGCGACAAGAAGGCAGCTGGCGCCGCAGCCGGCGACAAGAAGGTGCCAGCAGCCGGCGCGGGCGCCGGCAAGCAGGCCCCCGCCGCTGGCGCAGCGGCCGCCAAGAAGCCCCCTGCCGCCAGTGCAGCACCCGCCAAGAAAGGCCCCGGCGCTGGCACAGCAGTGGACAAGAAGGCGGCGGCGCCAGCCGCCGCAGCGGACGACAGAAAGCAGAGGGCCGCCCCTCCCGCTGCTGTGCCCGCTGCCCCGAGCTCGGGCGCCGACAGCGACAGCGACGAGGAGCCGGCGCTGGCGCCTGCGGGGCGGGAGCAGGGGGCCGGCGAGCAGCAGCAGGGCGGGGAGAGGGAGAGGGAGAGGGAGCTGTTTGATGAGGCCGAGTACCGCCCCCGAGTGGTTGCCTACAGCGACAGCGACTCTGGTGACTGCTGCTGCCTGTGATGGCGGCGGCCTGTGGTGGTGGGGCTGCATGCCTGCCCCTGCCCCTGCCCCTGTGGAGAATGGCGGGATGGACACTGCGGCAGGTGCCCCCTCTTGACCCGCCCAACCCTGTGCCTGCCCCTCTCCTGCTCCTGCTGCGCAGATGTGGAGTCTCACTTCAAGCGCGTGAAGACGCACCTGCTGCCGCCCAGCGAGGAGGAGGCGGCGGAGCGAGCGGCGGCCGAGGCGGCCGCGGCGGCCGCCGCTGCCGCCGAGGAGGCCGCCGCGGCCGAGGCGGCGCGCCAGCAGGCCGGCCTGCGCCGCCTGCGCGGCGCGGTGGCGGGCGCGGCGGGGGCGGCGGGGCGCAGCCTGGGGCCCCACCTCACCGCCGCCCTGGCCGCCCGCGCGGGTGGGCTGCTGCTGCTGGGCCGGGCGCGGCCCCGGGCCGCCTACGCGGCGGGGCTGCTGGGCGCTGCCGTGCCGCTGGCTGGCGCGGCAGCTGCCAGGGCGGGGCTGGACCTGGGAGCGCTCCCCGCCCCGCTGCTGGCAGCTGGGCAGGAGCTGGAGCAGCTAGGCAAGGCTGCGCTGGCGCTGGCGGCGGCCCGCCTGCTGCGCGTGGGCCTGCAGCGCCAGCGCCGGCGGCGGCAGGAGCGGCGGCGGCGGCGCAGCGAGGCGCTGGCCGACGCGGCGGGGCGTGCGGACGCTGCCACGGCCACAGAGGGCGAGCAGCCCGCCACGCCGGGGCGCCTGCTGCGCCGCAAGTCGTCAGTCAACCGTAAGTGCCTGCCGCCTGCTGCCGCCGCCGCTGCTGCTGCCGCGGATCTGCTGCATGCATCGGGGGGCCGGCTAGCCGGGCCGCTCCCAACACTCTGCCGCAGCCGCGCAACGGCAGCCCCCTTACGCACACTTGCTCACAGCCCGCCGCCGCCCTCCACTCCACTCCGGCCTGGCGCAGTGGCGGCGCTGCGCGCGTGCGCCGACCTGGGCGCCGCCATCGAGGCGCGGCAGCCCCACCCGGCGGCGGAGTGGGCGGCGGTGTATGGGG